CCAGGATAAAGAAGGGGAACAACAATGATTGCGAACATTGATGAGGAGACGGTCGGTCTCCGGTTGTTAACACATTAAGTATCCTGAAATGCACGTGCATTGCAGCTTCGGCTAAGAATGAATGAATGCCTTTGTAGGAGGCGGAGGAGGACTGGTCGTCGAGTTCAGAAAGTGTGCTTGTGTGCGAGGAAAGCGGTTGCAGGATGAGCTTCAGCAGTATTGCCTCATTCGAGGATCACTACCAGCACTCGCATCGCAATCAGTGTGCTGTATGCGGACTGCAATTCCCCAACGTGTACTGCCTGGAACTGCATTCGGACGAGACGCATTGCTCAATTTTCAAAACAAAACGAGAACGTGATGCATCGGCTGCTCTCTTCCACTGCTACGAGCCCACATGCTCAAAATCGTATGCCAGCTCGGATGCGCGAAATTCGCATTCCGAAATGGAACATGGAATCCGACTTTCGACTCTCTGTTTCAACGGAAGAAGAAAGTTGCCGACACGACGAAAAGCGCCCTCGCTGGACGCAGACCTCAGCAATTTGAGCATTTCCTCGTCCAGGGCTGCTCCCAAGCTGCTCGCTCGGGTACCCCGAGCACCGGTTTTTGGTGATGAGCAAATGGAGCCAACTTTTGCTTCACCAGTTGGGAAGAATTTTACAAGACGACAACGATTTGCACGGAAATGAGCTGGAACTCAGCGTGATGATTTCTGGATTGCCCGTGAACAACCACCGTATTTGAAAATATGCAGAATGCACTGAGTGCACCCCGTGCCGAGGAAGGTCTCTGCGGGGTTTTTTTTTTCCATCGTGATATGCCCCCTTTCTTCGTTTTCTGTAAGCAAGACCTTTATGCTTGGGAGGCACTCAGTGCCTTTCTGGATGATGTAATTTGAGGATAACTCGAAGCAGTTCCCTCACACCATCTTTGCTTTGTACTATGTGTAAATACAGACAAAAATAAAAATTTTTTATGACGAAATGAATAAACTGAAAAACATTGGATGTTGTCGCGCGACACACTTCGTCCACGCAACGCCCGTAAATCACGTGGAATTGCTGGAAAAAGGCACAGGAGAGAGTGAAATACGTGAGAAGTTCTTCGTTTATCTTCAAGCACTTGGAGCCATTTTTTTCTTCCGGAATATTGGATTAAACGCAGCAAATCAAAACCGCTACGTGTTCTTGGCGCGGGTTTTTTTCACGTTGTCTGGCGCGTTTGCAGAGGCGAAAGCATGTTTCCTCCGACTCATAGAACGGTACTGGCTTAGGCCAGGAATATAACACTGGTTTCACAGACATTTCAAACAGAGTTTCAGGCTTTCAGTTCTAAAAATTTCAACTTTTCCCAAATTTTGCTCCTTCTTTTGCAATTTAGGCGGGCAATTTGTTCAAAATATCGAAACTGTGGAAAGAAGCTGGAGATGCATTTGTGCGATCAGCGGAAATCCATGTTGCGGCTGCTGATCGGAAGCATGATGCTGCTTCAAATTACGCCGAAGCAGCCAATTGCTATCGTAAAGTTAATCCTCAGGTATGATTTTTTTTTTTGCCATGCTTCGCAATTGGCTATTGCTTTTTTTTTCTCACCAATTTAGAAAATCATGTGAATGTTTTTGTCTTTTTTTTTTGTTTTTTTTTTCTAAAAAATAGCTAGGTGTATCGAAAGGCTCCAATTTTGTGTTAAATTTTTGCATGATGTTTTTTGTTTCGTTTTTTGCAGCAGGCCATCGATTGTCTGATGAAGACGGCAGAAATTTATACAGACATGGGACGCTTCAATATGGCTGCAAAATATCACTGTACGATGGCCGAAATATTTGAAGGTGAATCACCGGATATGGCACAAGCCATGACTCATTATCAGGTATTTGAAAGTTAGTAGTAATTGAAGAGAAATTAATTTAAGGAAAGAAAGAATTCGGCCATCTAATGGCCCGTGCGTTACAATCCAATTCTAGTGCGTTTGCTCACGTGTATTTTTTTTTTTTCAGGAAGCGGCTGATTTTTACAAAGGCGAAGAAAGTCGAAGTTCAGCTACGAAATGTTTGATCAAAGTCGGCCAGGTATATATATGTCCATTTAATTGTCGAAGCGCCAGCTTCGAAAAATCATTCCAATAAGCACTAAATCGATCGTAAACTTGTTCAGCGCTGCTTTTTGTTGGCTTGTCAAAACATGTTATTATGGTTGCTACTGACGTACTGCCTCCAAACCGAGTCTTTTCCAAATGCGCATAACTTTTACACAATCAACGTTTTGCTTTTTTTTTTCGAATTCAACGGATTTTTCCTTTTTAGTATGCCGCACAGCTGGAGGATTACAAGAGGGCAATCAAGATTTTTGAAGAAGTAGCGATATGGGAATCCGATCATCCGACACTGAAATATGCTGCAAAAAATCACTTTTTCCAGTCACTTCTTTGCTACCTTTGTTTAGATTGGGTGAGTTCTTTAATCGTTTTTATGCGTTTTTTGCAGCAATGCAATGCGAAAAACGCATATTGACGAGAGGTTGTCTG